ACCAAATTTTTTTTTAGATATCTGTAAAAAACAGTTAATTTAAATAAAATGTCAAATAGCAACAATAATAAACAATAAAACATTAAAATATGTCAAGTTTTGATTGTTTATAACATGTTCAAAGATTATGATTCCAAAATGTTAGGTGTTTCCATTATTTTGTCCAACCCCTGTATATATTAGATATAAACTTTAATTCAATATGGTTTCATTTCGAGGTGAATATGTGTATAAGAAAGCTCGAAAACATTCTTTCTTTACCAAACTCTTCTCTATTAAATTTAAAGACTTTTTTAAAACTAGGTTTTGATTTCAAACATTAGTAACAACATAATTCATTTTATAACCCGAATTTTTAACTTTTGAAAATTTTAACATATAAAATAAAAAAAATAATTAGAAAATAGAATATGTATATTTCATGTAAATTTTCAACTAAAATCTTTTCCTTTCCAAAAAAAAAAGTGTTTAGTTGTTTTCTAGCTTTTTATAGTTTTTATACTGAAGTGTAGTCTGTGATGCTATGAAACCGGTTAAATAAATAATAGTTTGCTTTTCTCTTGTGTTGTGGAAATGATTTTATTTTCGTTTTTAATGTGATTGAGTGGTCAGTCAAAAGCTAAATTTGGTAAAACTACATAAATACAGAGCGATTATAAAGAAAAACTCATTTCAAATGATTGTCTCAAACACTATTTCCCAGGGGAACATAATTTCACCAGAGGCACATTGAGAATCGTGAGTTTTATTCAGGAAAGCTTAAACGTTTTGCAACAATTTTAAAAGCATATCATACTGCATAACTGAATCACTTTTCTCTCAAACCAGCATTGTTTTCACTTCTCTTCTTCCTCTCTCTCTCTTCACACGACTTGGCATGGTCAGGTGGTTAGGGTGCTCAATTCGCAATCTGCGGGTCGCGGGTTCCAATCCTCTTCACATCGAACATGTTCGCCCTTTTAGCCGTGGGATGCGGTATAATGTTACGATCAATCCCACTATTCGTTGGTAAAAGAGTAGCCCAAGAGTTGGCGGTGGGTAGTGATGACTAGCTGCTTTCCCTCTAGTCTTACACTGCTAAATTAGGGACGGCTAGTGCAGATAGCCCTTGTGTAGCTTTGCTCTAAATTCAAAAACACCAAAAACCTTTCTCTTCACAATAAGAGATCAACGTTTTGAATAAAAGCTACACAGGATAATACGAATTTCAATGAGCCCTGTCTATGTTAAGTGATTTTTTTTTTACAGTAGTTTATTTTAAGGATAGGTTATATATGCTGATTGAAAATGATTGAACACTTTCTGTGACAGTTTTTAAAGATCCTGTACCATTATTAAATGAATAAACATATGATTCTCAATGTGCCTCTGGTGAAATTTAGTTTCATACAACAAGCAGTTTTTAGATATAATTATTTTAGATATTGGATTTCCTTTATAATCACCCAGTATTTGCAAACTAACCCGTAAAATGTTTTGAGTATGCATAACTGACACTTTGGAGAACCCTTGAAAGTGTTCCCTTTTAGGATAATGTTAACGATTTTCACTAGGTTTGATATACGTAATTATAAAATAATAATTATGAAAGTATTTTCCTTATAATGATCTAAAACTGATTTTACTTGTACAGACTCTAATGTGGTATACATTGAATGTTATATTATTATGAATTAATTTGTGTATGGTTACCGAATTCAAGTGATAAATGACAGTTTAATATTCTTGTTAAAGTAAATATGATGCTGTAACTTTTATTTTTAAAAAAAAAACGTCCTATGTAAAGTAGTGATTTAATCCTCCATAAATAATTTTTCAGTTCTAAATGACGTTATAATGCTAAAAATTGGATTTCGATACTCCCGGTGGAGACAGCACAAATAGCCTATTGGGAAACTCTGCGCTAAATAACTAAAAAACTAAATAACGAGAGTGTGTGAAATTGTAATATTTTTATGATTTGTTTTGAAAGAACGAGAAAAAAAACACCTAAAATTATTCAGTGAAGAAAAAAAATAATTTAGAAAATAATCTAAAAAAATGGATTAAAATACCAAATGCCGTATGAACATGTAAACGTGTAGACCTCTAAGACTGAACGTGTCATTAACTGATAGTTACAAGCCATTTAGAAAGTGAAGATTTCGCTGACAATGCAAAGAAAATCAGCACGGAAAGGATTTTTGCTTATAGCAGCAGTGGTTCTCAAAGTTTTGTTGGTTGTTTAATGCACGTTATTAAATATCAAGTTATGTATCTCGCATACATATTCTTTTTTTTTTTTTCTTTTTAAGAGTAAGCACATTATCTATTTAGCGGTGAAGGCTAGCGAGAGTCCTGTATGGGTGATGTGCATTTGTAGATGTTCTACTGGGTCGCAAATTGCGCAGAAACAAAATAAAAAGATCCCTTGGAGGCAAAGAAAAAACATATAAAAACTATTGTAAGCTTGCTTGTTTGTTTGTCTAGTTTTGCGCAAGTGTATTCGAGGGCTGCATACCCTAGCCGTCAGCTAAGTTTGAAGTGAAAGACCAGAGGGAAAGCAACTAGCCACTACCACCCACCGTTAAGTCGTTACCAATGATTAATGAGATTAGCTTTCCACCCCACGACTGAAAGGGCAAGCATGTTCGGCGACAGGTTTCGATCTCATGACTCGTAACTTGCTAGTCTAGCGCCCTAACAACCAGAACATGCCAGCCAACTGCTGTAAGAAAGAAAAAAAAACCTTTATATCTTTGAATTCGCAAAACACAAATTTACTGAGCTTAACTAACAAAACAGAATAAAAAAGTCCTAATCTTAGACGTCTTAAATAAATAAAATTTAACATTTTCTATTTATGTCCATTTATCTGTATTCTTCATTAAGCAGTGCCATGCTCCTTCTCCTGAATACTGGTTGTTCTCTTTTGTTTCTTGAAGAACATAATTTCCTAATAAATAGTATTTTATCTGCACTCTTTTTCTTCTGACTGAGTCGTTTGCTATTGTTTCTTAAGCCTTTTATCTTATTCTTTCGTTAACTATGTTGGTTGTTTTTTTCTTTTTCATATAAATCACTATTCTTGTTTTCTTTTTTTCCACACCCTAGTGGTTTTTATTATTATTATGCAATCATACCGTTTTAGTTTCATCAACTCTCACGTCTTGTGGAGTTCCGTTTCTTAAAAAAAACAAAAAAACTGTCGTTGATAGAAAGTAGTGACACTAAAACAGTGATATTATTTATGTAAGTGTGTAATCGTGTACCGATATTCAAGATGAATGACTTATATCACGATATCCATTTCCTGCTCGTAACAATAGAGTAACCTAACAACACACCAAGCTTTATAACATATTAATCTGGTGCTTATCAGATAATCAGCTCCCGTAGTGAAAGATCTTGAAGATACACGTGCTTGATTCTAACAATCCCCCTTGTGATTAATTCTGAAGTTATACAACGTTAATTACGTATGTAGTTAAGTCATCTCAAACACCGCGTATGTCTTTAGACTCTGATATAATATAGGTGACGTAACATCACACGTCATCAGATTGCCTATCCAGTATTTAACATTGGTCACCCACCTGTTTACTAAACTCT